AGATGCAAAAAACGCATAAAAAGGGATCACTTTTGTTCCGAGTTTGTCTTTTGGCCGAAAAACAGCAACTTTTTCCGGACTTATTTTTCCATTTCGTTTTTCTTGCCACGTATTTGATAAAATGTGATAGTGTTATCGCTTCATGAGATTACTAGACTGGGTAAAAGCGGTAACCATTCTGATAAAAGATGTGTGCGCTAGGAGCGACGTGAGTATGCCGGTATAGGTGTCTGTGTGTGACGTTTTTTTTAGAACTCAGAAATGTTTAAAATTCAGAAGTTACTTTCACTGGCTATCCCTTGCGTACTTCGTAAGCATGGCAACAAAATAATTGAACATCGTTAGTGCGAAAGTGTCATTTCAAGTGGGTGGTCGCTATAACTCAGCAAGCCACATTCTCCAGTCCCTCCACTGTTTCTTCATTCATTTAACGCATCGTTGAGGAATGGTCGACCGAAGGAGGGAGCGAGGGGGGTCGGACGGACTGCCGGCCAATTGTTTATAGCAGGATGTGCTTCATTCCGAAATGCTAATTAGCGTCCCAAAGGAGAATAACTTCCAGCAGCAATTCTGTTATTTCCAACACAGCATGAGATGAGCGTCATGGTCGCCAGCAAACTGACCACTAAACAGTGCAACATTGATCAAAGTAATTCTCGAAAAATTTGCAGCTGCATAGCCGGAGGATGAGACCGTAAACTGTAGTTAGCCCAAGCATTCTAAATATGATGAAGTGGTTGATGGATACCTTGCTCTGTCAGGACATGCCACAAGCATTTAACAGAAGCTAAGTGTGTGTGTTGTGTGGCCAATATTTCAGTTGCAGAATGCAAATGTTTTCGATTCATTTTTGACCATTTTTCCCATTTCAGCGAATCCAGAGCAGATAGATCCTGGATGAATGGATGGACTGTAATTCATTCCGGCAAGTAACAGGAAAACATACCAAAAAGATTCAAGCATCCAATTTGGATGCTTGAATATTTCCTGTCAATACGTACTCTTTCAGGTGCATAACTGGTTGAACTCAGAACTTGATCTGGCCTTTCTGCTTCTACAAGTCCCTCGCTCTACCACAGTTGAGTCATGAGTTGAAAAGGTTAGTCAAAATCAGTCGTAAAAGGCGTTATTGCTTTAGAAAACAAAAGCTACCTCTGCATTTTGCGAAAATTCGGACAAGTTTTGTGATGAACAACTTTCCAGAGAATTTAGGATCAACCTTCTTCCGGTGCGCAGTTCGTTCTAAAGTGCCTTCTGCTTTTACTATCTGATAAAACCCTGATTATGCTACTGCTTTCCGAAATTGCCCCAAAAATCGTTTCTTTTCAAAATTTAGGTAAATGTCACAAGCACACAGTGTGCGAAGCTGATTGGTTAGGATCAGTGTTCGAAATTTCTCCATACCATCTTGTAATAATCACGTGCTTGAATTTGCATGATATTTAATGCAACTGGTCTAGAACGAGACAAGTCTGACTGACGTATTATAGAATGAACGAGACTTTTAATTATAGAACAAGACTTTTAATAAAGCTAGGGATGGAGCCTCATGCACACAGCTTTTTTCAACAAATTTACAAGAAGCTGGCCTCCGGTTGGCATAGTATCTCATGATGGCTTGGGAGTAATGTTCGGGGCCAGATACTGATGCTTAATGTGCACACCAATGAAATCTTAATAATGTCAAGCCGATTGCCAGATTGTTTCAGCCAGGAGAACCGTTGAGCTGCTGGTTCTTTCAGGAGATGAACGAATGCTAGGGTCCCAGCGTGACAATTACTAGGGTTGCAACAAAGTTTGGAGTAACTGAAAAACTTGCCAACTGCACTACTGGAGGAAGTCACAGTGAGCTGCTGTTGATCAAAGTATTAAACAGATTGTAGCAGTCAAGTTGATCTTGGGAGCCTAACTGGTGAAAGCGCGATAACAAACAGTAGGGGAAGAGGAGATAAGAATGAGATAAGACGTTTCGGTCCATTAATTTGTATACGACTTAACGCCGCGAAGTCATCAATGTAAAAGTAGGCTTAGGAAGCTAGCATATCCCATTTATGCTCCACTTTTTGCGAAAAGCGAGAGCATTTGAGCTGAAGGGACTGCCAGTAACTCTGTCTTTCTCCCTGTCTCGTAAAAGGTGCTTAGAAAAAAACTGAAAACTGCTTCAGGCGTTTCCTTAGCAGTTGCCATGCTTGATAATTGAGACTTGGAATGGCTAATAACTTACTTACCTAACTGAGTACTTGAAACGGCTCCTAGTTCACTGCATATTCATAGTTCGGAATGTTCTTCAGTGGTATAGCCGACAACCATACCGTCCACTTCGATCTTGGACTCTCCGCATCCACATTATCCTATCCGTTCGAGGTCAGTGAAACGGCTCAGTACATCGGGTACTTTCAGCTTTTCTTTTAATATGCGAGAATAGTTTCTTCGCTTTTTCAAACAAAAAATGAAGCAATTGGCATAATCGCCCAAAGTCATCCCTTTCTTTTTTTTTTTCAAAAATTTTGACCAAATAGTTCGAAGAAAAAAATTAAAATTTTCCACGATAATG